TGGGGAATGCCTCACTGGGCTTACTCCCCCCCATCCTAGGTTTTTTATTAGAGTGCGGTAGGTGTTCCTTTAAGAAGGGGAAGAAGAAGAAAAAAGGTAATTCGCCATTTTTTTTCCACCATCTCCCCTCTCTCGGCAGGGGATTCTAAAATGCAAGTGAATAATATTCTTGAAGAACTTTAGTCCCTGGGGATTTTACCAGACTCCGGGGAATAAAAAGGGGCGTGGCCCTCTTTTCTTGGGGGGGGAAAGGGGTGGGGGGGATTCGGAAGGACTCAGGCCAAAATTAGGCCCCTTAAATAAAAGAACATTCGGGGGGGGGGGGGGGTGAGGGCGGAGGGTGGTGTGGGAACCGGGTGGAGGGGAGCTATGGGGTAAAAAAGAGGAACAACTGTAATAATCTGAACAATAAAGATTTAATTTAAAAAAATAAAAATAAAAAAATAAACGGGGGGGAAAAAAAACTGAGTTGAGTTGTATCCCAAGATCCAGTATCTTCTGAAAAAATTTAACATTCTTAATCCAGGACTACTATATTAATAGAAATATTAAAAGAAATAACTGGCCGAGAGCACCTTTCTATTCACTAGATGTGATGCTACCTGATTCATGATTCATTGAATAAAGCCAATTAAATCTTTTAAAAAGGACGAACGAACCAGTGTAGCAAGAAGCAAAGTTCAAATTTTTGATTAAAGCTAAAACAATACACAAAACATTTGCATGTATTAATTTTCTGATTTTAAGTGTAAAATCCTTAATAGTTATTCTTAAAATATAACCATTTCCCCACAATTAAAATGTATACAGTGGTAATATTCCAAAGAGACTTAGATCTATTTTCTGCATATCTCAAAAAGCAGAAGGAAATTTTACAATATATGGACAAATGTATATACAATGATTTAAATTACCTTTCTTCTTCTCGAACCCATACTGGAGTTTTAGGAATTTGTGCTTCAAAAAACTTAGATGCTTTATAACAAAAATTGCTGCAAAAACACTGAAAAAAATGTAAACTAGTTAGTTTTTTTAATTGTGAAACATAGCATATGTACAAAAGAGAGTATAAAACACAAATATGTAGTTCAAAGAAAAAAATGAAAACCCATGAATCTACCACCCAAGGTAAGAAATAAGGTAGAGTACCTTCGAAGGCCTCTATGTGCCCCTCTCTGATGGCACCACGTTCCACATTCCCCAGAGGTAACCAGTATTATAAATTTTATTGCTCATTTTTTTGCTTTCTCTTAGTTGTGCTGCCTATACATATGTTATCCTATATATAATCTAATAAAAGACAAACATGCAAATGGACCATACCTTCACTATGCCTTAAGCAACGCCCACCAGCCAATCAGAGCGACTATATGCAAATTAACCCAACCAAGATGGCAGCTGGCAGCCACGGAGCTAGAGCAAGCAGGAGGCTTGGTTGCTCCAGTGATGGAGGAAGCCAAACTTCCCGTCTGCCGTGGCCAGCTCTGAGCTCCACTCAAAGCAACAAAGTTTCAATTATAGAAGGTAAATAAATCCCAGAATAAAAAAAAAAGAAAAAAAGGAGAGGCTGGGAGCTTCCATTGCCGGGGTGCTTGGCCAGCCTGAAAACAGCCCTGAGCCCCTCACCCAGGCTGGCCAGGCACCCCAGTGGGGACCCCCACCCTGAAGGGGGTGTGACCAGCCTGCAAACAGCCATTAGCCCCTCACCCAGGCTGGCCAGGCAACCCAGTGGGGACCCACACCCTGAAGGGGGTGTGACCAGCCTGCAAACACCTATCAGCCCCTCACCCAGGCTGGCCAGGCACTCCTCTATAATAAAAGGGTAATATGCAAATTGACCCTAACAGCAGAATGACTGGGAATGACTGGTTACTACAACTCACACTGACCACCAGGGGGCAGACACTCAATGCAGGAGGTGACCCCTGGTGGTCAGTGTGCTCCCACAGGGGAAGCTCTGCTCAGCCACAAGCCAGGCTGACGGCTGCCAGTACAGTGGTGGTGGTGGGAGCCTCTCTCCGCCTCCTCAGCAGCACTAAGGATGTCAGACTGCAGCTTAGGCCTGCTCCCCGCTGGCAAGTGGACATCCCCCAGGGCTGCCGGGCTGCCAGAGGGATGTCTGATTGCCAGCTTAGGCCCAATCCCCCGGGAGCGGGCCTAAGCCAGCAGGTGGTCATCTCCTCAAGGGATCCCAGACTGGGAGAGGGCACAGGCCGGGCTGAGGACTCCCCTCGCCTCCCGAGTGCACAAATTTTTGTTCACCGGGCCTTCTAGTACTTGTAATAAAAGACTATATGCATATGCTAATTAGACCGGACGTCTTCTGACTTTTCTTTCAGAAATCCTTTCAAAAAAAGCCACAACGGCTTGCAAGGGCTGAGGGCCCGCGCCCACAGCAGCTGTTGAGGGCCGGGGCCAGGGCCATTGGTCCCTTTTGCAGAGGCCCCCAGGGAGAAGGTGCCCCCAGGAGAAGGGCGAAAGGGAGAAGGCCCGCCTTCCGGGGAGAAGGGAGAAGGGAAGAAGCCCGGAGACCCCCAAGAAGGCAGAAGGGAGAAGGTGGCAGTTAGGCAGTTAGGCGGTTAGGGGGGATAAGGCTTGCAAGGGAGGG